AGATTAGGATTTTAATAGTAATAAGTAAGAAATTAATTTCTCTAGAGCCACAGTTTTGCAAGTAGAAATAAATGATGCTGAGTACATAACTGAAGGATTTATTCCTTCAACTCGTTGAATTATATTAGTAGTATGTTGTAATTTTGCTACTGTCTAAATCTTAGCAGGTAGATTTTAGTTCTGGGTAAATAGAAAAACCAGAAACAAATGGTTTACCTATCTTACTAAGTTATGCTAGTAAACCAAATTATAGTATGTTCAAAAAACTAAAAAAACACAGTAAATAACCAGAATAACAGTAGCCTGTTTACAAGAGTCCGTTGCATTCACTGTCAAATATTTATTGGCCGTTGTGTTATTTACTATCTAGGCCTTCAGTAATAATCTTTATTATCATTATTTTTTTTAACTGAGGTAATAGGATATATGACACAACTACCTGAAACAGTTGGAAGTTTTGAGAATGATGGACAGGAGAGATATGAATGAGAATTTATCTATTATTGAGCTATAAGGATTCCGTAGGTTTTGAGTGGAAGAGACAAACTGCGCTCTCACTTAAAAATAACAGTATACGTTTTGCTAGAAGGAGATTCATATGGGTTTATAATTCTTTTGGTTTTTCTATATATATCCCTCTGGCACATAATAGGGCTTCAATAATATTTTTTGATCAATTAAAAATTTAAATCTACCTTATATTTTCTGCAGTATATACTGCTGTAATGAAATGAGCACCCTTCTGAGATGTTTTCAGTTGCTAATAGTTTTGACTGGGTACTTGGTGGGGGACTTGGGCATTAATTAAGGTGGGAGGGATACTAGTGCAATATCACTCACTTTAGGAAACAATTTAGGAGGGTTTTAGGACTTTGGGGGAATTGGTGTAACAGAGAGGAAGCTAAAGGTGGTAGTGATTAAGGGGTGTGGTAGGGAATAAAGGGCCAAGGGTGTGGTGGTGATGGCTGAAGTGTAGAAAGAGAAATTAAAGGAGACACAGAAGACTGCCTGCTTTCCAAATGTGTTGCTTCTAATATGATGGGCTGCCATGTAACCACAGTACCACAATTGAGATGCCAGGCTTGTCCAGAAAACTAAAAACTTCAGCCTAACAATTTTTGAAAGTTCAGACATCTACTCCTTTCGTCTCATTCCAGTTCCTTTCACTCTCATGAGAAAGAAAAAAGGAAACAATAAACTAGCTACTCATACCTGCCAAAATTTATCATTTTCCCTCTTTTGTTTTGTCTCCTCTATTCACCAAACAAAAGCAAAACCCAATCAACCAACTAGAAACCTATCTTCATCTATCATCTCTATTTTGAGTATTTGCAAGTTTTTTTTTTTTTCTGTTTATGGAAATTTTTAGAATGGATTCCAAAGGCCTAGTACTTGAATAATTTTGGCAGAGGTGTTTACATACATAGGGAAGTTGATGACATTAAAGCACACTTTTCTTTATGACGCATTCAAGTAGGAGGGGATATAAGGGGACTCCAGATACAGTTTAAAAAGAAAAAAAGGTGCTAACTTTTCTTCAGTCAGGCTTTTTTCCAACTTCATTTTTTCATTTATTTGGAAATTTTGTTTAGGAATCAGTCTTAAAACTTCCCTATTTGATATTTACTCTAGTAAAAATATAATAGTCTTCTTGAGATGATGTTTGGGGTATAAAAAAGAATTTGATAGGATTTTGTGTGTTTTTACGTGGTGCTTAGATTTCTTTTTTAAAAAAACTTCAAGATTATAATTTAAATAGAATTTGTTGAATTTTCTTTTAAATGTAAATGGGCTCTTTTGTTTTTGAGAAACAAGAAAGTATTGGTGATTTGTTCTCCATTGCCTTTGACTCTTACCTGTGTAAACTTACAGAAAATAAACAATGGGAAAGAACATACACATCCAAGAACACACACATGTAATATCCAGAAACTAAGAGGAAGAAAGTGGAAATAAATTATATATGGGATGGGGAAAGAGACGAAGGAATAAACATTGACCTGCCTGTGTCCTCTCTTTTTGTGCAGAGTACTTTTTTCACTTGATAATTATTTTCTAGAAGATTGCTTTTTGTTCTCTTTCTCCTTTAGATGCTATTTGGATGCCGTGTTGTTTTCTCTGTTTTTAAGCCAAGAGTACTAATCAGTTTTCTCTGTCATACAAATAGATATTTTTTTTTAAAGTTCTTTCTTCAAGGAACATTAAGCTTGCAGCTTTTATTTAAAGGATTTTTTATTTTTTGATTCTTTGTAATAAAAGTGTTCTAAATAATTGTTGGATTGCCACAATTCTGTGTATTCCCTCTGTGCTATCTGTGTTCATGTAATTATGTACATTTTTTTGTGTAATTTTTTTATAGATTATGTTTAATGAAGAACTTGGGAGTCCTTTTATCATAATTCACAGTATTTCATTGTTGAAAGCCGAAGAACATTCAATAGCTACCCTACTTCTTCAAATAGAGAAAGAGGAATTGGATATGAAAGGAAGTGGTTTCTATGTTTCTTTGGAGTGGGTCACTATCAGTAAGAAAAATAAAGGTAAAATAAAACAAAATTCTGAATCTCTCTACTGGTTACCATCATTTAGTAGGTTTTTAAATGCCA